AATCGAGTCAACATATTGGCAATTTCAGCTTAACTTTTTTAAAGATGATTTACCTGTGTTTATTTAAATATTGTGTTCAACCACATCCTAACTCCATCCCACGTCACCAAACAAAAGACTTTGGGGAAAAAAAATCATTGTTAAAGTTCAAATAAAATTTCGGATATGCTTTAATCAGTTCGGACAAGACAAAATTTAGCAAACTTGTATTCTTGTATAGTTAGCCATAAATTTTAATGACGTTCATTGCTCCAATTTGTTAAAAAAAGAAGGTCGAATTTGAAGCGTAAAACTATTGCCATGGCAATCAATATCATGGGCCGATCTAACAGCTTAGATCATGATCAAAAATCAAGTGAAGGAGATACTTGCAGCTAAATTTTACTGTACAATTTTATCTAGCATACATAACCTATCTGAATCTTGAAAATACGAGTGGAATATTATGATAACTACTAATATATCGTGTGTATGTATATGCAAAGAGACGTCATTAATTTTAAAAGGCAACTACTGCTCAACCACTTCAATAAAAATCAAACAGCTTAACAAGAGGATCTCTCAATTTACAATTTCTTTCATATTTTGACTAGAATCACATAGATCGACGATGATCATTATTTTAAATGAATGGCATTATTCCTCTATCTATCTATACATCTATATGTTCTTGTTGCCCGAATAGCCATGAGGACAAGTAAATGTTCCAAAATAAACTGGGGAAATGAGAGAACAGCTAAAACTTCACTGTACCACATTCTTACAGCTTGTTTGGGAGCCTTTTTTTGCTCCAAAAAATTGATTTTTTGACCGTTATTTCACTATTTCAGTCGTCATATTTGACTTCTTTTCTCACAGGTGGACCCCACTTTTCTCCCAACGGTCAAAAAATCAATTCTCAAAATCACTCCCAAACAGGCATTTAATGCCTGAATAATCAGTCAATTCGAGTTAGAGCCTGTTTGGGAATTATTTTGAGAGTTGATTTTTTGACCGTTAGGAGAAAAGTGAGGTCCACCTGTGAAAGAAGAAGTCAAATATGACGGCTGAAATAGTAAAATAACGGTCAAAAAATCAATTTTTTGGATGAAAAAATTGGGCCCAAACATGCTCTTAGTCACGAAATTATTTTCGCCCTCGTGCAAGGGAGGGCCACTAAAAATAATTATAGAATTTAAAATTGAGTTTAACAAAGTACTGTACAATCAGCTACCATGCAATTTACCAATAAAAACATCCAACACTCACGTTAGATCTATACAAATACTTCTGAAAAGAACTAGTAAACACTAAAATTAGATTTAGAACATTATGAACTAATAAAAGAGGAACGACCCGAAGACTCTTCTTAGAACTAAGTGGGAACAACCCAGGAGTAATTTGGAGAAATATGGAAAATAAAGAATCCCAGGATGAGTACCAACATTACTAACTGTACTAAGAAATATGAGGTGTACTTGCAAATCCCCATCTGCAGCTTCAATTTCTCATCAGCACAAGCAATGTCTTCACAAGAATTCACCAACTTGTCAGCTTCTTTTTTAAGCATTGAGGCCTTGTTTTTTGTATTCTCAAGCATGTTCATCATCTGGGCTTGCTCCGAAGCCAGAGTTGTTTTCTTTCGCAGAAGGGTTATTTGATCCACAGATTCAACTCTCAACTTTTGGACAGTTCTTGATATTGCCAAATATTCAACTTCAGCTTCAATTTTCAGCCTAAAGAAGTCCTCAAGTTCTGGTCCCGTGTATTTTCTGTTCGCCGCTTCTTTCAACTTGAGTTCTAGATCATTAGTAGTGAAATCTGAAGGTAAGTCCTGAAGCGCACCATCTAACGATCCAACTTCCCTAAACTTGAGTACCTCTGCAGAGATATACCAATACATTTTAGCAACAGACATATTAGGAACAAAAATGAACACAACAATCAATTTTGTAACAATGCAAAGGAACTTTGATAATCTATGTATCATAAATAGCAATTAGGTTCTCCACTGGATGCAAATATTTTTTAAAATGATAGTAAACGCAGTAAAATGCACTACTTAATCCATGTGTTGCATCTTGTGATATCAAATCCTGAACCACCAATAGAACTAAGACAAAAATACACCAACAAAGGAAATGATTTTCGTAAAGAAAAAGTTATGTACAACTGTGCTAATGTGCTATCAAAACTCCGAAGTTATGAAGAGGTCCACCAATTAGCAACCGATGCAGCAGCAATGCGACTGACAGTGTCCCTGCTTCACGTAAAAAATGCTTGATACAAAATAAGAAATGTTAACATTCCATGAGCAATGACTTGCATTTGCCAATTATGTAATGGCAAATATTTAATCCAGGGTTTGCAGTTGCACATTTATTATAGCCTTCAGATGTTAATTTCAGGTGTTCATTTTTCCTTATGTGATGGGCAAACATCTGAAGGATAAGAAACTAGACAAGCCAACTCGAAATGGTAGAAAAGTTTGCAGCTGGCTGAAACACTCAGACCTATTCTTGTGTTGGCATTATAACTCAGAAGACTTGCCAAATCACGTAACAAAATTCAGTCATCCAAGTTGGAAAGACAAAAATAAACAATACAAATTTTCTTCCAGAGACTAAATAGTTCTCTGTATGCTTAAAGAAGTAAAGCTTTTCAGTAGGTTCAACTCTAGATAAAATGTCATAATACTGCAGATTTTTTCAAAAAATTTCCTTCTATTTTCTCATAATTTTCAGGACATTTTTCTTGATTTTTTATATCCAGGATGTAAGAGATACAGAAGTCCAGAACGTATATTTGAGCACCTCAAAAAGAAAGATATACAAATATTCTGATGAACGGTAACCAGCAAGGTGGATATGGTACCACTTTTTGGTTGCCTGTTACATGGTTCCCAACCAAGAGTCTTAGCCTTTCTTTTCTTTTCTTTTCTTTTTTCCCTGTGGTGATCATGGTCATATGGAACAAAACACACTCCTTTTTCCCCGAAAATAGAAAAAGTTGCAATAACTTCTACCTTGATATTTATATATATTTATATCCCTAGTACAAAAAGGATGATGGCGAGCTATTTCTTAAATTATGCACGTAATTTTTTGGAAAGATTAATTTGCGTGAAAAACCAGGAATGGAGTAGATGTGAACAAAGTTTAAGGTTATAAATGTGGAAGAAGTTTTTGGGGAGAGAGAGAGAGTGTGTGTGTGTGTGTGTGTGTGTTTGTGTTAACATTAATTTACATCAGGGAATAGCTCCATTAACAAAGAAAAAGGGATAAAGCTTTCCATTAATTATTTGCAATAATTATCAGAGATGTGCTCTTATCTACAGATCACAAAAATAGATTCTTTTGATGATGCCTGTTGGATTACTTCTGAAATGCAAGTCCTTAGGTCTAGTTCTCCCTCTCGAAAGGTTAGCTATAAGGGATATAAAAAGCAATAACAATTCAAACTACAATAATTAACAAATTGTGCAGTTCAAGAAGACCAACAGACCTTTTTCTAGTGCTTCTTTTGCTGATTGGAGTTTATAGATAGATTGAACTAAAGGATCAAGATCTGTTGACCCGTGGTTCTCACTTCCTTCTCCTCTAACCTCACAAGAGGATCTATCAATCATATCTTCTCGAGAGATATCTTCAAATCCTCCATCATTGTTCCTGTTGTAAGCTTGCCTTTCACCAGCATGAAGTTCATCACCGTTTCCTCCATCATAATACAACGACCATCCACTTTGAATCCCATTACTTGTTGCAAAGTCATTTCCCTGCATAAAAATAAAGTCGGAGCTATGAGAGTCAGATTCTACGCTGGAATGAGAGTTTTCCTTCTCAATTTTGACCTGCTTCCCTCTAGCCTACTTACTGGTCTCAACCCGACCATCTCCTTTCTGACCATGCTGGAGTGAATTATCCAATTTCTTCCCAATCGAACCCATTCGGCTGTTGAGCAGAACGCCTGCAAAAACAGGAAGCTCGTACCTTATCTTCAGTGCACTGGATCCTGTGAAGAACTTGCTATTTTCTGAAACCACTGCAGAAGGAAATGTTGGGCCAATCGCCAACCCAGAATCGCCAATCACGACAAAATCATCAATCCACAGCATTCATTAGTGAAACATACCCCTCACTATTTTGCTTCCTCTCAGTAAAAAATGCATCCGTTTAGTCAAATTTCTTCTACTATTAACACTTTGAACCCTTATTTACTTCCCTCATGATCCTTATGAACCCTTATTTACTTCCCTCATGATCCTTCTCCATTTCTTCAAGACATGCCCTTTCTTCAGAGACACTTCATTTTGCACCTCTGACCTCCACAGGAGGCTAACTTACTGACCCTATAACTTCAGTTCCCTTTCCGGTAGATAACTCATTATCTTTCACCACACAATAGCCATTGCTAGGAACCTTCGTTTCATCACCATTACTTGTTCTATTCGAGGCAGATATGGTAGTAATTGCTTCATTATCTTCCAGGGGTGCAAGCACCAAAGACTCACTTTCCAAATCCATTAACAGTAAATTTGAGCAAATTTAATTGCGTAAACGTATTCAGATCAAAATCGAGAAGTAACCATCATTCCAGCTCATTGATACTAGAAAATACCGGAAACTATCTAGAAGAAAACAATTACTTTCCCGCGGAATCAAATCCCGATTCATTCCCCCGGAATTTTATTTAATTAATTACTTCTTGGGATGGAGTAATAATAAAGTGGAAAACGACGAAAATAAAATAATTATTCAAAATAATAGAAGAAAATTTTAGCGTACCTTGGGCTCCATAAATTATCGTGGAAGAGACTCAAGAAAACAGTAGCCTAGATGGTGGGTGGATTTTGAAATTTACATTTACACCTGTAAAATTCGTTAATTTGACTGATTCTTGATGATGAAACTATAATTTATAAGAATTACTGCGAAGATTGGTTATTCTTACGGATTATGCAGAACGTGGAGAGTTGTGGAGAGGAAGGGGCCCTCGAATACGGAATGGAAGGCGGTGAGTCGGTGTCTGTTGATCTGGAACACACTGATCCGAGTTGGCGAGCCTGATGACGGAGACGGTCGTTCCATTTGGATAAAATCTAATTTAAACAAATTTCAAGTATTTTACCATTAAACTACTCTTATTTTGTTAAATGACCATTTTCTCTTTTTCATATAAAGAAATGTTTTGCAAGATTTCAAAATAAATCAAGTAATTCTAGAAGGCACGTCAAGACTTTGGGGTTAAGATAGAATGTCTCGTGTTGAACAATGATTGAAAAAGATAATCGATTTTAAGTCAATCATCTTAAGGTGCACTTAGGCCGAAAAAGAAATGGCCTTCTTGTTTGGTGGGTAGCATTTTCTTGTTCTAAGTTTAGCCCTACAAAAAACTCTATTTAGCCTAAACTCGACTAACAAGCAATCCCTGGCTCCATCTTGTTTAGTTTGTTTGGTAGGGATTTTGATAATTGATATTTTGACCGTTATAAATAAAGTGGGTCTATTTATGAGAGAAAAATTCAAAAATGACAGCTGGAATAATGAAATAAGGGTCAAAAAATTAATTTTAATTGAATTAAAATCCCAAACAAACAAGCTCTTAATAAGAGCATTCCACATTAAAAAATAGAAATAAAATCAAAATATTCATCATTCTTCATCTTTTTCTTTACCAAGTTTATGTTCCAAATCTTTTACTTGTAATTCGCCACGAGCAAGACTTGGGCAAGGTATGCTATGTTTATATTCAGATTTTTATTTTGATAAAATGAAATGTGTAGTTAAAAAATTGTGAATCTCATAAAATTGTGATTAAAATTAGTTATTGACTTTGACTTAAATTAAAATTTTAATTTGTACCGAACAGGAGCTAATCTAATTGTAAAAATTAATCATTTAGTTACCGAAATATTCCAGATTTTGATATTTATATTTTTGTTGAAAACTTGAAATGTTATATAAATTTTCAAGCTATGTATTATATATTACTTATTGATCTAGAATAATAAAATAATATTAAAAATATGACAGCGCTTACGTTTCCTTTAAAAATTGTTATTTATGATAATTTTTTTTGTTTTCTGTTATTTAATGGTAACTACTCTTTGCTTTTCATGGGCCAGCAGCCGGTACAAGCCTAGAAATTGCATTATTATTCCAGCCTGCATTTAACTATAATCATATATTTTGATGGCTATACGTAGTTGGAGGATAGGATTGTCATCTCTGTAAAATGGGAGGACCAACTTGATAAATGTTCATCATTTGACTTTGAGGAAAGAATTGACGCATGCAAACGTTTGCATGACAAAATCAAGGCCTTAAAAAAGTTCGGGGATCAAATTGAAGCTTTAGCATATATGGAGGATTGTTGGTGAGAAGTTTGAAAACCAAAATGTCAACTCTATAAAATGGGCTGACAAACTTGATGCGTGTGCATAGTTGGACAATCGATTTCACGCCTATGAATAGTGGGAGAGCCAAATTTTTGCATCTAAAGATTTTCGGGACCAAAATGGCTGTATAGTTGGAGGACCAAACTAAAGCTTAAGCGTAGTTTTGAGGAAAGAATTGTTGCCAGTGAGAAGTTGGAGGAGCAAATTGATATCTCTGTAAAATGGATAGACCAACTTGATGTGTGTCGAAGAACTTAATTGTTGCCTCAAAATATTTTCAGGACCAAATTGTGCTATTAAATAGTTTGATGACCAAAGTAAAGCTTTAGAATAGTTGGAGGATTGATTTGTTGCCTAAAAATAGAAGACTAGATGTTGCATCTGAATAGATATAGGACCAAAATGGGTTCTTTTTATAGTTTGAGCAACAAACTAGCTACAGCATAGTTGGAGGAGAAGATTGTTGCCAAGGAAGGAATTTTCAACTTTGTGAAATAGTTGGACCAAATTGTTGCTTGTCCATAAATGTAGGATGAAATTATCGCCTCAAAGTTGCTACAGAATGAATGAGATCTATTGAATAATTTTAGGACCACAACGGGTCCTTTATATAGACCGAGGACCAAACTAAAGCTAGAGCTTAATTGGAGGACAGAGCTTTCAACTCTATGAAATGGTTGGACCAATTTTGATGTTTGAAAATAGCTTGAGTACCAAATTAACACCTAAAGTAGCTGCAGGACAAAATGGGACTGTTGAATAGTATGAAGACCACGTTGAAGCTTATAGTTGAAGCTTATATATATATATATATATATCTAACTTTTTTTAAAAAGGGGAACGAGATGTTACTGTGGATGGAACAGTAAACTAATCCGAAAATACTGTACAGAGAAGAAAATGGTGTCATTTTTTGTACCTTTTTTTTATTGTTTTCGGCTAATACCATACCGTTTCCATTTTTTCACTCATACGACCATTCCTCTACTCTTCTTCTGACTTGATGGAGGCGAAAGAAAATCATCAAGAAAATCAAACAACGACTACACCGCATTTTCTTCATCCTTTTGCGATTTGGGTCGGCACTCCTTCTGCAATTTACTACTTCCAGAAGCATCCGTTGAATTATTATTTGTTGGGATTGTCCACTACTTCTGTTAAGGATGAACCCCAGCCTTAAGGGGCCCCATCGCCTCGCCCCTGGAGTATCGTGAGGGAGGTAAATCGAGAAATGTGTCCCAGTAGGTTAGGGAACAAGAGCTTACCTGTACGCTAGTACCCACAAAGAATCTAATTCTATATCTCAAGAATCGAACTCTCACACTATGGCTGCCAGCAAGACTGAAACTACCACACTCCTATCCTTTAAATTATTGTTTGCTGGAATTGTTCATTACTTCTATTACTTTTATGATGAGTTGACTTGTGCATTCACCAATGGTAAACGATTCTGTTCTCCATTCATTTATTTATTTCATCTCTTCTTTTATAAAAAATTGCTAATTGAGATAGAGATATTGGATATCATCTTGTTATTGTAGTTATAAATTGTTGATTGGAGTATGAGTTGTAAAGAAATTCAAGAAGCCTTCTTTTATTAGAAATGAACTTTAAGTTGTGGATTTATGACAAAATTTCATGTTGTCATCTCTTGGTGTCTTAAATGGGGTTGTAGGAGAGAAGAAAGATAAATGGCGCAAAAAAGTAGGGAAAAATAGATATTGCGTAAACAAATAAAGAAAAGTAGGGAAAGCAGAGAGGATAAAAAAATTACCAATAAAAAAAAGAAAATCTCTCCGCACTACGCGAAAAGATCAACTCTCTCCACACAGTGCAGAAAGTTTTGCCATGGTGCGGAGCATGGTTTGCCTTCTCTCCGCACTATATTTTTTTGTGAATGTATTTGTTTTAGCTTTTGATCTCACTTTTTGTAAACAATATGTTATAGCTAAGATTTCGTTGTCAATAATAAAAAAAAAAAAAAAAAAAAAAAACCTCTCCGAACTGTTCAAAGAGATGGCAAACCATCTCTCCGCATTGTGCGGAGAGATTTCTTTATTTTTTTAATCGATATCATTACTTGATAAGTGCATTTCCATTTTTTTGTATACAATTATGTTTAATTTATTTATATAAAATGCTTTAAAAATAATAATTATTAAGTTAATAAAAAATACACTAAAAAAAAGTATACAAATCAAATTTCTCAAAAAATTAGTAACAAAAAAGTAAATAAAATGCATTTACCTATTTTTAATTTTGTCTAATTTAATAATTTAAATGAAAACAAATATTACACGTACTATGTAGAGTCTCCGCACAATTTGTGTAGAAACTCTGCACTGTGCAGAGTTCACACTTGTGCGGAGACTCCGCACAAATCGCACAATTTGTGCGGAGTCTCCGCCCAAGTGTTGACTCCCTTTTTTTTTTTTTTTTTTTTTTT